GCGGCAGCGGGGGCGGCGCGGGAGGCCACATGGCGGCCTCTGATTGGCTGGGGCGCGGTGGCGCGGACGTGTTCGGCGGGGGGCGGACGCGTCCGGCGGCAGAGAGGGAAAAACTAGGGTTAGGGGGGATTTTCATCCGCGAATTTCGGGGAAGGGGCTAGTTTTATAGGTAGATGGAGCTAGGAGAGTCCAAATGAGGAGCGGTTTTCGGCCACGCGATCGTGATCGAACGACCGAGAGCATGGAGGGGAGTTTGCTGGGTTTTGGACCACTTTGGAAGGGGTGTTGGGCCGCAAAGAGAAAGAGGCTTTTGCGGTTACCCGGTTAACCGTTGGAGTACCAAACGAACTCCAAATGGCACGAAACTTGACAGGCCACTTGACAAGCCTCGGTCCATTCCAAAAACGTTTGACACCCGCTCACAACGAGAGACGAAAGGGGAACGCCGGAGGGCATAGGAGCGCCGGATTGCAAAACGGACAACGGGGAAAAGGCTCGGATGCATGAGACGAACACGTATGAAAAATAAAATGCACATGATGACATGATAAAATGCAACACGCAAGCAAATGACATGGAAACAGCGGCGAATAACTGGCAGACACCTGGCGCATCGAATCCGGGTCGTTACAAGAGGAAGGGCCGAAGCATATGCCAACAGCCGAAAGTGGAGCAGCACTACACCACCACGAATCGCCGCCACCAGAAACACGCATCGTCGATGCAGAGCCGCCGCTGCACGGACCCAGATGCAGCCGCCAAAGCCCATCTGCACTCCACCACATGCGCAGGACGCCACCATCACGCACCCAATGGAGCAGGGAAGCCAGCTCCGCCCGCAGGGAAGCCAGCACCGACCACCGACGCTCAGAGCGGCCAGCGAGAAACTACAGCCGGCCGCCGCCCCTGGAAGCCAGATCCAGATGCGACACAGCCGACCGCGGCCAACCGAGCGCCCAGGAGCAGCACCAGCACGCGAAGCCCGACGCCCCCGAGCGACCACCGCGGCATCGAAGAAGCAGCCGCCGTCGCACGCCCCCGAGGACGGACCCCCAGATCCAACACGACGACTCCGCCCCTCCTCTGGCGAAGCGGCCGCGAGATGCAGCAGAAGTGCCCCGCCGTCACCTTCCTCGGAGCGCGTGCGGCGTTCGCCGACGGCCTCCTCGGGTGGCGGCGAGACTGGGAAGACGAGGGAGTGGAACGTGGCGGCGCTAGAGGGGGGTTCCCCTGAGTCGCCAGAGGGGGGGCGACGCGGGGGGCGCTCAGTTGCCGTGCAGTATAGCGCCACCATATTGCCAAGTATCGATCTGGTACAGGGAGTATTGCCCAAGGCAAGAGAGATACACGGGAGTAGAGATAAGAGAGAGAGAGAGAGATTTAAACAGAAAGATAATAATCTCTACAACTCTAACTACTCCTAACGTGATACAATATGCAAGACCGAAGTTGTTTAACAACATGATTTTTCATTGTATTTTCGCTCTTTTTAATCGTGAACCACACAGAAAGGCCGCAGGACACCGGTGTATTTTGACGACTTTCTGAGCTAGTGACTTAACTCGTATTTTATAGTTTCGTAGCAACGCATGGGCATTGTGCTTGTAATTTTAAGATATTGACTTGCAGTGGATGTGTTCACAGGGCAACAAGGATGGCTTATGCCCCTTGGACAAGCTTGAGTTAACTCGGAAAAAGATGACCTGCCAGAATGAACAGCATGTTGTTGATGGTGGTGACCACTCTTTCAAAATCAGCCAAAGATACCAAAAATCAGCGAGAATAAGTCAACATGATGTTGAATTAGAAGCTGTTAAAGCAATTGCACAATTCGTCCAGAAAACCATAGCTGAAAGCTTAACCTAGCCGTTCCTTCAAAATTTTCTTATAATATCTAATGGTAGGTTCATGATCCTAAGATTCTGGCTTTTGAACGATCTAATATGATCACGTACTTGGTTTGGTGACTGG